TCTTTATAATTAAATACATTCAAAGTGTTTCAAATTTCAATGTAGAAAAATAATAAAATAATCTAAAGAAAGGCTAATTAAAATAAAAGATAAACAAAAATAATAAATATTTTTTTGGAATAGTAAGATTAAGTGTTAAATATAAAGAATTTCTTGGAATAATTCAAAACTTTAACTCTCTCAATTTATAGATACTCTCCAAATGATAGAATATACTATTTAAAAATTGAGATTCTCTTGGAAATATTCTAAAAAGGAAGATGTCATTAGAATTTTATATCATCATCAAAAGAGATAGAGAGAGTGTGGTCAGAGAAAATAAAGTGTGCAAATTTGTTCTTGAAAATTTCTTTTTATCATAATGAATTATTATAATGACGGACGAGGATATAGTATCACATTGAAACGAACCACTGTAAATCTTGTGTGTTTTCATGTATCTATTTCTTTATTGTAATTGTATTGTTCTTGATGATATAAAATTAGGGTTTCTATTTTTGAATATATTTTAATTTTCTTTATGTTCTAACATCAATATGTTTCTTGCCAAATAGGTTATAAGGGAATAGATAATTTTTACAACGTTACTAGACATTTTTATTTACTAATTCAGACGATTACGTAGAATGTGACCTACCAATTGAATTCTTAATTTAAAGAATATAGTTTTATTAAATTATACAACGAAATTCAGGTCAAAAGTATTATATATTGTTGTTAATAATGAAGCGGTGGTGTAAAACTCCATTTTTAGGTCAACTAATTTTGTAGTCCAACCGGCATGATCTCACCACTTCATGCATCGAGACACGTGTGCGTGAATGAATTATGATTCAAAGATTGTAATAAATTGTGAATGATGTCTCAAGTGCAAATTTTCAATGGAAACGGCCATAGATTCAACAAAATTCGATACACTATTCGTTGGCATCAAATCCTTACATGTTCGAAGAGTATCGAGTCAATTTTGACAAGACATTTATCAAACACGAACACTTATCTAATAGCCGTATTCGTGCAACATAAGTAATTGGTAAAAATGGAGAGGATTCTCGACCAAGGGTTCTCTACCTACAAGTTGGCATAGGCCATTGAATCAATAGCAATAAGCCCTATTTGACCCTTTGAAACCTTTCGATTGAGAGACAAAAGTTAAATGAGCGAATGAGAACCATGCAATCCTATGTATTAATTGCCCTTCAGCCAAATTATTGAAAGCTTGGGGGGTAAGAATGAGTTTTTTGTCTCTCCGTATAATTAGTTTTTGAGATGTTAAAAATATATTTTCGCTTGACATGCAATTTGATTAAATAATTCACGAATCATCTAATAAAAAAAATCCTTTGTACTTAATAATGTCAATAAAAATTAATAAGAAATTTTTGAAATAAAAAAATAAATATTTGTGAATGAGTTAAGACGATTAATGTGTTGTTCAATCCATCTCACAGAAAATACGGCACCTTCAATATATAGGTTGGACGAATTAGGTTGTATGGACCGACTAAAAATCTCGGAAAATGAAAATTAGGTTTTCCAATTAAATACATCGCTCGAGCGAAGAGGCATTCTCTGCCTCTTCGCTCGAGCGACAGTGGGGCAAGAATCGAACGAAATAGGTTCTGATTCAGTCGCTCGAGCAACACTCCGGTGAGCAACTAGCGAAAATTCGGTATGAATTCTTCTTATTCCAAACACATNCAATCTTACCAACTATGAAACTTTACAATTTAGACCCTCATCTTTTATAAATGTTCAAGTTGGTCAATTTGTTCATAGAATCGTCAATACAAAATATAAACCTAACAATAATGATAATGAAGCAGTGGTGTAAACTCCATTTCTAGGTCAACTAATTTTGTAGTCCAACCGGCGTGATCTCACCACTTCATGCATCGAGACACATGTGCATGAATGAATTATGATTCAAGGATTATAATAAATTGTGAATGATGTCTAAGTGCAAATTTTCAATAGAAACGACCATAGATTCAACAAAATTCGATACACTATTTGTTGGCATCAAAATCGATACAAATCCTTACATGTTCGAAGAGCATCAAGTCAATTTTGAGAAGATATTTATCAGACACACTTATCTAATAGCAGTATTCGTGCAACATAAGTAATTGGTAAAAATGGAGAGGATTCTAGACCAAGGGTTCTTTACCTACAAGTTGGCATAGGCCATTGAATCAATAGCAATAAGCCCTATTTGACCCTTTGAAACCTTTCGATTGAGAGACAAAAGTTAAATGAGCGAATGAGAACCATGCAATCCTATGTATTAATTGCCCTTCAGCCAAATTATTGAAAGCTTGGGGGGTAAGAATGAGTTTTTTGTCTCTCCGTATAATTAGTTTATGAGATGTTAAAAATATATTTTCACTTGACATGCAATTTGATTAAATAATTCACGAAGCATCTAATAAAAAAAATCCTTTGTACTCAATAATTTATTAATAAAAATTAATAAGAAATTTTTGAAATAAAAAATAAATATTTGTGAATGAGTTAAGACGATTATTTCACAATGGTCAGAACAATGATGAAACTTCTTTTGAAACGATATGACAGAAAGTACTGTTGTTAACTTCGACCTTACTAAAATTGGACTATCGTGGTGAATTCAAGGTAGCTCAACTCAGATAATAATTAGGCCACGATCATTTCGTTTAAAAGCTTATGTTACTAGCTATGAATTATTTTTCTTCGTTAATTTTTATCTTCAAAGTGTCAAATCACACGTTGGTAAGCTCTATTCAATCAAAAGTATGATGCTACATATTTTTAATAAATAAATGACGGTGAGACTAATTAAGATTTATTGTTTGATTCGATCCATAATGATAGAGATTAATCATTTGCATAGATGATTAAATGGATCCCATATAACCGTATTGGTACAAACAAAATTTAAAACGAATTTTTGTTATTTATGGTTTCAATCAAACTTCAATTACTATTGTTGATTTGTCAGGACCCCAATCAGGCAGTGCGAGGTGTAAGTGTGTGACAGTGTGAGTTGTGGCGTACTCTGAACTTGCCAAGTGTTACGCTTTGTATTGTTGTACCTAGACGGAGGTGGAGGCTTTGGACCCACCATGCATGGGTTTGATTGTTCCTTAATAATCTTGTTCACTCAAAAAGGTTCCTTGAGACTTTAAACTTGGGTAGTTTAAAATTGGTAGCTTTTTAAATTTTGATTTGAAATTTGATGAAATATTAATTTTGAAACTTAATTACTATCTGTATTAAACTTTAATAAAGTGAGTAGACGTTCAAATTTAACTCTCTCTTTTTTGTTAAAATATTCTTCAAAAATAGATTAAATTTTCTATATATGATTGAATCCATCTAAGAATTCAAGGACATTTCAGTACACGATATTAAATAGAATTGACTATACAATATGTTACACCCCAGATATAGCTAAGGTGCTACGTAGGCACATGTGTACTCGAAGGCTGGCCACATCTGTCTCCTCCTTTGTCATTATTGTCATCCTCTAGTTTTCATACGGCATCACTGGACAAACATACATTGTTCAACCGAACACCTATGTTGAAGCATTCATCTGCATTGGCGACTGTTTAGATACACGCTTCAACAAATATACACTTCGGCGCAAGTAAAAGTAAAAGTATACTATGATTTTCTCTGAACTCTAGTCATATCTTTCCATACTTGTCTCTCCTACATTCCCATATTACTACGTATTGTCAGTTGACTTGATCGTCAGAGTGCCAACAATCAACTGCCTCCCTTTTCTTGGCTTGTGATCTTGGTGCTAATGGTTTTTGTCCGGGTATGCCCTTTTCTTGGCTTGTGCAGGTAACATACAAGTTGGCAGAAGCTTTTGACATCGAGGTCCTGGACATTTTTGAGGTCAACAAAATATATAATTATTTTAGTTATGTAATACTATCTTATGAGGCACTTGCCATTATTTTAATTTGAAGTTGAACAAATTATAGATGAAATTAGTTTACTTGTTAGGACTCCCTTGGAAAAAAATAAACAAAATAACCAATTCAGGGTTGACAAAATCCGTTTTACCGGTTACTAGCATTTCCATTTGGGGTAAATATTATTTGGAAAATTAATACTTTAAAATTGGGTCTCTAACTTTTAACTTTCATATTATTTCGTAACTATTGACAAATTTCATCTAATCGGTAAGTTAAAACATCGAGTGCCTCTCACATAAAATAAATTTTACGAGGTGTAATTAATAATCACATTGGGCTTACGCTTAACTAATAGAACGACTCACATTTTGGATTGTTGCTTGCATAATGACACCGCCCCCTTCTACGTCCACGTGTTCAATTACATTGACATGTTTACTAAACATGCACTCAAAAATATTTTTTCAATGTAGGAGGTACTAAGATAAAAGTTTGGCACCATAGACCTTACCATCATTTGCAAATGCCAAGAAAAGAATCAAACTGGATTTTTAGATTTTCCAAATAGTATGGTAACTTACAAGCTAGCAATCGATGCTGACATTTGAGCCTCTAGACCATATTGTATTGCAACTACAACCTTCCTTAACTACCATTGCCCAACTCCCCGCCAACCACAAGTGTTAGATAAGATGCCTAATCCGACATTAACCATTAACAAACATTCCTCGGAATTTTCCCTGTAGAATTCAAATTATTTAACCCCAAATTTGGTTCCTATCCCTTATTTTTTAACACAAACCAGAAATTCTATTAAGCTAAGTCGTCGCAAATCACAGACCGTATAGAAATAGGAAATTTAGTATGTACAAAAGGTAAAATCAGCAAACCCGTGCATTACCGCAGGTTCATACAAAATTGGCTAAAACTGGGGTAAAGGAAATGGTTAAGTATCACATGAACCCATCAATGGCATGTTTGGCAAGCGAACTGAACAGAACTTGACAATATTAAATAAGAAAAAGAAGTTACAATTTTGTTCATACTATAATTTAATACTGCGTACCACACATGTCCAAAGCAAGACGATTAGTCTAGGCAGATACAACTTTCCCCTTGCCAACTCCAAACGATGTCTTTAAGGGCAGGCCTCACATCCTCCTCACAAAACTTTTGGTACTCAAGTGTGTCACCGGCGAACTTGGAGAACTTCACCACCGCCACCTCCGGTGCCACCTCGAACACCTCTGCTGTCACTGACAACTTCCCTTTTCGTCCCTCGGAAACCCCTTGCATTTTCATCTTAAAATCCTTGGCTAACAAAACATTAAAATTCAGCTTCTTGGCAACTGATTCTAGCTTGCTCATGACCTTCGAAGCTGAACATTTGGACGTAAAAAGAGATCCTGATGTCCTCCTCCCCACTTGGCAACTGATTCTAGCTTGCTCATAATCATAGAAGATGAAAATTTCGACGTAAAAAGAGATCGTGATTTCCTCCTTCCCTCGAACAAACTCGACAAATCAAATCCCGAAGACATCGATGATATAAATTCAAATGCATTATAGAAAGGAGGGGATGATTTTGATCTTAACAAATCTGGTTCTTTACTCTCTTCTGAAGCATCAACATTTTCTTGAACTGTTTCTTGAATTGAAAAAGAAATCGACCTAGTGAACCCTTTGTAGAACCAAGGGACTCTCATAATTGCTGGAATTGTAATTCGTTTTTCGGGATCAGCCACCAAAAGTCTTGAAATTAACCTCTTCGATTCATGTGAAAACCAGGGTGGAAACTCAAATTCTGCCTTGAAAATTTTTCTATACATTCTCATCATATTTTCATCTTGAAATGGGAGAAATCCAGCCAATAAGACGTATAAAATCACCCCACATGACCAAATGTCAGCTTTTGCTCCTTCATAACTGTTGAAGGTCAAAACTTAAACAAAATAAAAGTAATTCCTCGAATGCTTAAGCTTTTAAATAAGTCGATAAATGTTTGAACAAACGTTTGAATAAATTCTGCTGCACATAGGCGGGCATCTTGAAAAGACCAAACCTCCCGTTATTCTCAAAATTTATTTTTTCGATAATAATTTTTAACTACACATTCTCCCATAAACTAATTTTACAAGCAAACAATTTTTTTTTTCTTTTTTAATCATACATTCTCCAACTTTTTACTATTTTAAAATGTATTTTCTTAATAAAATGGAACCAAAAAGGTTGTAAATAAATGTTATCCTGATTTAGCAGTATAAACTTTTAAGATAGTTACCGTACCCTTTTTTCCGCAGAACTTCCGGCGCCACATATGCGGGAGTCCCACAACGAGTGTGCAAAAGTCCGTCGTTTCTCAACTGCTCAGGCAAGGCCGACAACCCAAAATCCGACACCTTCAAATTCTCATTTTCATCCAAAAGCAGATTTTCCGGCTTTAAATCACGGTGGCTAACGCCGCGGCTATGGCAATAATCCACCGCGCTAATTAACTGCTGAAAATATTTCTTGGCCAAATCTTCTTTCAGTTTCCCTGTCGCAACTTTGGCAAAAAGTTCTCCTCCTTTTACATATTCCATTACAAAGAAGATCTTCTGCTTAGTGGCCATCACTTCTTTGATTTCGACAACGTTGGGGTGTCGAACCAATCGCATAACAGAGATTTCACGCTCGATTTGTTCCATCATGCCTTCTTTCTTCACCTGATCTTTGTATATAACCTTAATCGCTACACTTTCGGAGGATTGAAGGTTTTTCCCATAGTAGACTTTGGCAAAAGTGCCTTGTCCTAGAACCCTTCCCATCTCATATTTTCCGAAAATGATGTTTCGATTGCCTCCATTGGTGAGGTTGTAAGTTTCTTGAATAGAATGATTTGGTTGTTCTTCTTCCATGTTTGAACAAGCTCAATGGTGGATCCGAAAATCCTGGATGCAATTGCAATGGCTCCCTTGTAAACGGTAATGATTAAATTTTTGGGTCCAAAAGGATAAATTACTGATAGGTCCTTGTCCTTAGATAGCTGGGCTGATGGTGAATGACTGGAAGGCGGCTGAGGATTGGAGGTGGAGGGAGGAGAGTGGTGGTGGAGGTACAGAATTAGTTGAGTTGGTGCGCGTCTGTGTGTGTTTGATTGGAGTGCTTTGTTTTGTCTGTAGGGAGAAAACGGCAAGCCTGCAGAAATGGAGAAATATCTGTGAATATAGTATTTAATTCAAATGGCTGTGTTTGATATGCCAAATTTTCTTTGAAAGTTGGAAAATAATTTCTTTTTTCTAGCATTTGGGTTGTTTGATGGGCCACTTTTTCCCTCCCATTTGCTTTTTCCCTCTCATTTGTTTTCCACCCAACTGCCTCACGTGTCCCAACACCAGTTGGTGGCTTCTTTTTTTTTTTGACTTTTTATTTGTTTAAGCATTGGAACCAAATTTTATAACTAAGTGTAAAAAAAATTTCACTTTGAAGCAAACAAAAGTCAAACGAATATTAAACTTTGATAAAAAAAAATAATTTTTTAGGAAACATTTTTTTTAACTTTTTGGTAATGGAAACAAATTTTATAACCACGTGTGGAAAAAATTATCACTTTAATAGACAATTTTCATATAAAACAAAGCCAAACGAATAGAAAATTTAAAAAATTTTCAGGTGTGTCTGTGTGTGTTTGATTGGAGTGCATTGTTTTGTCTGTAGGGAGAAAACGGCAAGCCTGCAGAAATGGAGAAATATCTGTGAATATTTAATTCAAATGGCTGTGTTGGATATGCCAAATTTTCTTTGAAAGTTGGAAAATAAATTCTTTTTTCTAGCATTTGAATTGTTTGATGGCCACTTTTTTCCTCCCATTTGCTTTTTCCCTCCCATTTGTTTTCCACCCAACTGCCTCACGTGCCCCAACACCAGTTGCTGGCTTTTTTATTTTTTGACTTTTTTATTTAAGCATTGAAACCAAATTTCATAACCAAGTCTAAAAAAAAATTTCACTTTGAAGCAAATAAAAATTAAACGAACACTAAACTTTGATGAAAAAAATAATTTTTTATGAAACATGTTTTTTAAACTTTTTGGTAATAGAAACAAATTTTATAACCACGTGTGCAAAAAATTATCACTTTAATAGACAATTTTCATGTAAAATAAAGTCAAACGAATAGAAAATTTAAAAATTTTTCGGGTGGAAAATTATAACAATCAAACACGCTTAATTAACAATTCCCTGCAAAATATTTTCTAGGCANAAATTTTTCGGGTGGAAAATTATACCAATCAAACATACTTAATTAACAATTCCCTACAAAATATTTTCTAGACAATTATTTTCCCTGTAAATCATTTTCTTTCCACCCATTTTCCACCCTTACAATCAAATGCACTCTAAATAATTTACTAATTAGCCCACTAATGGGACTATATTATCAAAAGAGAAATGATATTCATCCCCACTGGGAATGCATCCCCAATCTATGTGTCGTTAATGTGGCATTAAATGATAGGTGAAATTAAATAAGTCATATAATTTCGCCTATCATTTAACCAATCATTTACATCCACATAGACTGGAGATGAATAGCATTTTTCTTGTCAAAAGCATTCCAATGGTATATTTCATTTATTCTTTTATTCAACCCACAAAAAATTTATGATTTTTAGTTAGATGCATTATGCAGGCCTCAATCACCAACTCTAAGAGCTTGGCCATTTTTAATATATATATATATTCAAGAAGGAAAAAATGCAATAGAGATCCTGAAGGAAAAATTGCAATAGAGATCCTGACTCTCTGATGTTGGTCTAATCTTTAATTTTTCATTATCAAATATTTAAATTTTCGATCTTTAACGTGGCTACACTAGTCATTCCAAGTTGACAATTTGTGTCCAATTGGGTTACCAAAAAAAAAAGAAAAGCACGTGAAAAGATGCGGAGTACTATTGTGAAGGTAAATTGGAGACAAAAAAATTAGTTGGTCACAAATTTTCGCTTTCAAGCAATAAAGTATTTCGGTTGCTTATTACAAAAAAAAAAAAAAAATCGATCTGTAATGCTTGAAGGTATGAAGTTGTCCGTATCTACATTTTGGCAGTACTCCAACTAATCCCACGTTCATTTAGTCGAAATTAACAAAAATAAAAAATGGAGAGCATAAAAGAAACAACAAGACTTGACCATCCAACTTAAATATTGAACCCAATGGCATTGTGCAAAACACATCATTCTTTGTTCAAATTGAAATTCTTTACAAAATACATACGATAGGTGAGACGGTTAAAGATCTCAAAATCGAAATAATTCAAAAATATCTCACAATCTACTGATCAAAAGTAAAAACGACTTTTGGTGTATGTGATAATAAAGTGGTTGTTGACTAATATATTAGACTACAATTTGAGAATTTCCAATGACATTATGAAAGAGGGCATAATTAGATTTTTGGGGGTCCAACCTATTTTTACTCGAACTTGACTAATAATTTATTGTATGTTATTCATCCCCATTGGGGATGCATCCCCAATCTATGTGGCGTTAATGTGGCATTAAATGATAGGTGAAATTAAATAAGTCATTTAATTTCACCTATCATTTAACCAATCATTTACATCCACATAAACTGGGGATGAATAGCATTTTTCTTGTCAAAAGTATTCCAATGGTATATTTCATTTATTCTTTTATTCAACCCACCAAAAATTTATGATTTTTAGTTAGATGCATTATGCAGGTCTCAATCACCAACTCTAAGAGCTTGGCCATTTTTAATATATATATGTTCAAGAAGGAAAAATTGCAATAGAGATCCTGACTCTTGATGTTGGTCTAATCTTTAATTTTTCATTATCAAATATTTAAATTTTCGATCTTTAACGTGGCTACACTAGTCATTCCAAATTGACAATTTGTGTCCAATTGGGTTACCAAAAAAAAAAAAGCACGTGAAAAGATGCGGAGTACTATTGTGAAGGTAAATTGGAGACAAAAAAATTAGTTTGTCACAAATTTTCCCTTTCAAGCAATAAAGTATTTCGGTTGCTTATTACAAAAAAAAAAAAACAAATCGATCTGTAATGCTTGAAGGTATGAAGTTGTCTGTATCTACATTTTGGCAGTACTCCAACTAATCCCACGTTCATTTAGTCGAAATTAACAAAAATGAAAAATGGAGAGCATGAAAGAAACAACAAGACTTGACCATCCAACTTAAATATTGAATCCAATGGCATTGTGCAAAACACATCATTATTTGTTCAAATCGAAATTCTTCACAAAATACATACGACAGGTGAGAAGGTTAAAGATCTCAAAATCGAAATAATTCAAAAATATCTCGCAATCTACTGATCAAAAGTAAAAACGACTTTTGGTGTACGTGATAATAAAGTGGTTGTCGACTGATATATTAGACTACAATTTGGGAATTTCCAATGACATTATGAAAGAGGGCATAATTAGATTTTTGGGGGTCCAACCTATTTTTTCTCGAACTTGACTAATAATTTATTGATCATATTTATAAATAGGTAAATTAGCAGCTTTTTTTCGGCCCAAATTTCTAGATCCGGGTCTCACGCAAGCCATGCTTGTTTGGTATGACTTGAGAAAAAGCATGTAAACATGAGTGAGAAGTGTGAAATCATAAATTGAAGAAAATTTGTAGCGAAGGTTTCAAACCTTTCAAAATAATGTAGATAGGTCCCAAACTTTTAAATCGTAATAGATACGTTTCAAGCCTTTCCAAAATGTGTGATAAAAGGACTTTCCAGATTGGTTTGGCCCAAAAATCAGTTAGTTACCAAAAGTCAAGCATTTGACCAATTTTAGAAAGGATAAAATGGTCTTTTAAACTTTAATTAATTAAAACATGGAAAATATGTATCGAAGGTCCCAATTTTTTAAAAAATGTGCATTGCAGTCCATCCTTAAGGCAAAATATTGATTTTGATTAATTTATGGGCTAACATGTAAGTCACGGTTACTTATTTAGAATTCGGATTATATGTGTTATTTATATTGGCCCAAGATTGTAATATTACTATTTTTTATCAAGTGTCAATTAGTTGTACTAAATTTGTAGATTGAAT